AGCTGCTGCTGTATACCGAGCCACATCACGAACCACCTGAAACACAATAAATAAATAAATAATAAATAAATAAAATAAAAATAATAAAATAATTCATAAATATTTGTAAAAATATTAAATAATAAACACTGAAACACCGGAAACGTCAAACACGAAACATAGTACAGGAAACACGAAACGAGAAACAACACAAAGGTAAAAGAAATATAAAAAGAAAAAAAAGAAAAATACAATAAACATAAAACAAAAGAAACTACAGTGGCGCAGCTTTCTCTGCTTTCTATGCTACTACTACTACTCGTACTGCTGCTGCTGCTGCTGGTGCTGCTGCTGCTGCTGGTGCTGCTGCTGCTGGTACCAATACTGCTGCTGCTACTGCTGCGTTTGCTTCCGTTTCAACTGCTGCTGCTACTGCTGCGTGTGCTGCTGCTGCTGCTGTTGCTGCTGCTGCTGCTGTTGCTGCTGCTGCTGCTATTACCTTGATAGCAACTTGTGTTTGCATGAGCACATCTACGCAGCGCAGAACTCTGCCGAATGTTCCGTCTCCTAGTTTAGCGAGGACTCGATATCTGTTGTTTAGCCAGAGGCCTGGCTTCCAGGAGAAGTGTGTTATTTCATCTCTTGTTGCTTCTTTGTTCTGCTTTCTCACGCTCTTTCGTGCACCCTGCTGCTGCTGCTGCTGCTGCTGCTGCTGCTCCTGCTGCTGCAGTTGATGCTGCTGCTGCTGTGGTGGAGGTGGGGGAGAAGGAGGCGGCTGCAATGACTGATGTAGATCCTGAGGAGAATGCATGCGACTCTTCTTGCTGCTGCTTGCTGCTGCTTCTCTTCTGCTGCGACGCTCCTGCCCATGCTTGCTGCTGTTATGTTTTGATTCTGCTGCTCCTGCTGCAGCAGCAGCAGCAGCAGCAAGAGGACGACCGTTGATAGGGCTGTAGTGTCTGCCTCTGTACTGCGGCGATGCAGCTCCTCCCCTGCGGGGACTGCTGTGCTTTCGTGAGCTCCTTCTTGC